TCTAATTAGACTTAGTATATAATAATTGACTAGCTAGGGTCCTATAACATACATCAGCTAGACTTAGCATATATCATCGCTATTTGAGTTTTAGTATAAGATTATTAGATTTGTAATTAGACTTAGCATGTAAGATTGTGTAGGGTTCTAATATACGACAGTTACACTTAGCATACATGGCTATTTTTGTCTTAGCATATAAGATTATTTGAGTTTTAATATAAGATTATTATATTTCTAATTAGACTTAGTATATAATAATTGACTAGCTAGGGTCCTACAATATACATCACCTAGACTTAGCATATATTATCACTATTTGAGTTTTAGTATACGATTATTAGATTTGTAATTAGACTTAGCATGTAAGATTGTGTAGGGTTCTAATATATGAGAGTTACACTTAGCATACGAAGAAGAGAGGAACGAGGATCCAAACCAGTATTTGAATGAGGAAGGGAACGTGGAGAGGGATGCGGAGGGGAACCAGGAGGGGCACGTGGAAAGGGATGTGGAGGGGAACCAGGAGGAGGAGGCTAGTGGAAGTCAACCCTCCGTTGGACAGAAGAGGGCACGTGGGCAACGAGGTGCCGCGAAGAAGCTTGAGGGTCGGCACATCATAACGAAAGTGGAAGAAGATGGACGACCTAGTGCTCCGGCAGAAGCCGCCAAGAACTATGTACGTCACAGCGGTTGGGTTGTGCGGGATAACGTGCCTGTCAGTACGGTGTACTGGCGAAGAACAAGGGCACGCGGAGATCATGAGAGCTTTGTCCCAGATTCGGAGAAAGAGATTCTGTGGACCACAATGCTCGAGACATTCACCCTTCCCGCGGGTACAGAGGACAAAGTGAAAAGGTGGACTCTGAAGAAAATAGCAGAACAGATTCAGAGCTTCAAGGGAGAGCTGTACAAGAAATATATCCTGAAGGGGCAGACACCGAACTTCGACACATTCCCAAAGCTAAGGGATCACTGGGACAAGTTCGTTGCATATAAGACAGGTGAACAAGGGCAGGCGATGATGGAAAGAAACAAAGAAAATGCCGCCAAGAAGAAGTACCATCACCACTTGGGGTCAGGCGGCTATAGCGTCGCGATGCCGAAGTGGGAGGAGATGGAGGCTAGCTTGCTTGAGAGGGGTATCGAACCGGCCACCGCTAATTGGCCGGAACGATCGAAGTTCTGCTACTATGCTCATGCGCTCAACCCAGCTGATGGCTCACTGGTCTTCGGCGATCAGATACGAGAGGCTGCGCGTCGACTAACAGACACAGTGGAAGCCTCTTCTCAGGGCACATTCCGACTGGATAGAGAGAGGGACGAGCTGTCACTCGCCCTGCAGACTCCAGAGCATCCAGGACGAACTCGAGGGAAAGGGGTGATTCCTTGGAAGATTGGGTTCAAGGAGGACATCTACACGTACAGGAGTCGGATGAGGAGCAAGAGAGATACCGAGGCAAAGATTGCAGATCTTGAGTTCAGGGTATCGAGCTACGAGCTCAGCATTCAAGAGGAGGTGGCAAGGAAGGTTGATGAACGCATGGCTGCACATCGGTCCAATGATCCCCAGCCGACCATTCCTCCTGCAATGGTGAGCCCGTCAGGAAACCGTAGCAGCTGCGCCTCAACGGGGCAGGTAGGATCACAGAGCATGGACGCCATGCAAACCCAGGACGAATCCACCTGCCCCGTTGATGACATCACTCAGCGGACACCATGTGAGCTGCATATTCCTTTCAAGAACTTATCAATAAAGGTAAGCTCATAGTTTATATATTTTAGATTTGCCCATTCCGCTAGTTGCTGCTTATATATGTTGATTACTAATAAATAACCTCTCACCACATGAAGGTGGCGTCGGGCATGGCCATCCCAACGGACCCTTCAGGTACTTACCACTGCAGGCCGATTCCAGTAGGATACTCCAAGGTCGAAGTTGAGTTGGTCGAAGGTGCGTATGACGACCTCGAACTGGATTACCCTGGAGGAGACCGTGAGATGCATCTACGAGACACAAGCCATGCCATTATTCTATGGCGTAGGCGGTACATCATCCTCCTTGGGCGACAAGCGGCGTCTCGTGCACCATCTCCTCCGGCTCCGCCATCTCCTCCTTAGGATCCTGCACCGTCTCCTCCTCATGCTCCAGCACCGTCTCCACCTCAGGCTCCTGCACCGTCTCCTCCTCATGCTCCAGCACCGTCTCCACCTCATGCTCCTACACCGTCTCCTCATGCTCCAGCACCGTCTCCACCTCAGGCTCCTGCACCGACTCCTCCTCGGGCTCCTCCTACTCAAGCTTCTGCAGTGACTCCTCCTCAGGCTCCTGCGCCGACTCCTCCTCAAGCTCCTTGTCCGGCTCCTTCCAAGTCAAGGTCCCACCAAGCTCCACCGCTTGTCCGCACAAGGGCAACAAAGAAGGTGAAAGTTGACGCCGCCGAAAACAAGGACCCGGGGTACGATTGCACGCAAGAGGAGCTTGACGCTTACATGGCATCAGAAGTCAAGAGACAATTCAAGCCTCGAAGTCTAGAAAAGAAGATTCCTATAGACCCGAGTGTCATGAACTTCTTCAGGGGTATGTCTGCACCTGCCAAGGAGGCCATTAAGCTATCGGACTATGAGCGAACGCTGAAGAAAGCATCTTCTGGAAAGTCCAAACCAGTCCCTCAGCTTGGAGAGCAACCAAACCAGGAGATCGAGCCGTTGGTGACCGGTAAAGAAATGATGATAGAAGAATTTATTACTGACACCGGTCTAACTACGGATCAATTGCTAGGAGTTGCACCAATCGAAAAGGCGAAAGTGAAATACATGTACGAACTCGGTAAACCGCTTGTCAAGCCTGAGCTGCTGCAGTCCCTACCCACACAAATGTACAAGTTCCATCAGCTGTACATGGAGATGAGCGCCACCGGTAGAGAGATGATTGGAGCGAGGATCAGGGACACGGACTTCTTGAAAGGAGATGACATTCTCTGGATCAATTTCAAGGGAATCTACGAATTATACCAGCTGGACGCCCTCGACGTCTCTATTATGAGTTGCTGGATTTTGTAAGTATATCGTTCAGTTAGATTTCTTACTACGTATCCTTTAATTAATTAGGTCCTTGTATATAAGTAGACTATAGAAAATAATATACTCCCTTTTATTGTTGTAGAATGGAGATTCAAAGGGCCCGACGGTGGGGGGTTTTCGATACTGGATTCATCGACCCTCGGAAAGTAAACGTCGCAATGCTCGACCAATATCCGCAAGCCACAGAGGACAATCTCGTCCATCTCCTGAAGGCGCAGCATTACAAGACGTTCATACTGTTGCCGTACAACACAGAGTTAGTTTAATTTACTGTCTTCCTATACCAAATTTCATTCCCGTACGAACTTGCTAAGTGTTTCATATGTAATGCATCCCACGCACATTGCAGATTCCACTGGGTGCTTTTAGTCTTCGACCTGTCGGCCTGCACCGTCAACGTATATGACTCAATGGATAAAAAAGAGTCTACGTTTGACAAGGTTTTTGAACTTATAGACAGGTACCGTCATAAATTCCTCTGTTAATTAAGAAAATCTTGTTATGTTAATTGCTACTACGAATCATAGCTTTAAACTCTATGTAGGGCTTGGTATCGGTTCCGTCATTTGGTCCGCGGCAAATGGAGAGAAAGACTTAGGCGGAAGTTCAAATTTCCTGTGAGTACACATGCTCTACATTTATATTTCTCCGATTCAAATACATACAAGTGTATATTAATTAGATCTCTCGTTGTTTGTCATTTATTTGTAGTGCGCAAAGCAAAAGAAGGGAACTAACTTGTGCGGCTATTACGTGTGCGAGTATTGCCACTGCCTTGCAGACCAAATCATCACCACAAGAGAGCTCGATGTACGTACAAATAAATTCAAAATTTCATTACGTATCGATTTCTTGTTTAATTACTAATCAATTTCATACATTCATATAGTTTATTCGCATGAGGGATAACCTGACCACGCACAAGGAATTTATCGCGGCGGTTCAAGAACAACTCATAGGATTCATCAACGAACAAATCCTTGATCCCAAGGGTAAATTCTACTACGACGGAAACACAATTCATAGATCCTTAGCTTCTGAGCAAGCGACTACTACTACGTCGAAATCGTAGCTAGCTAGGACATATAATGGATTGTAATTAATACATGACTACATATGTTTCTATATGCATGTGTACACATTTTCTATAATGTAAACATATTTTGGTCATATATATATATATATATATATATATATATGCATATGCATTTGCATAACATATATATGTATAAATACATATATATTATGCATGTACATATGTATTGAAACATATATAAATATAATATAATATATATATATATGCATATATTATATATGCATATATGTACTGAAACATATATATGCATGGTTTATATATATATATAAACCATGCAGCAATAGGGCCATGCAAAAAAAAAAAGGTCAGCTCGATCTTTAGTCCTGGTTGGTAACACCAACCGGGACGGCTGAGCCATCTTTAGTCCTGATTATTTTACCCGGATTGGTAGTCCCGGTTTGAAAACCTATTTTACCCGGGACTAAAGATAGCGATCTTTAGTCCCGGATTGATAGTCCCGGTTTGAAAACCGGGACTAAAGAGGGGTTACGAATCGGGACTACAAAGGGTTTCTCCACCAGTGTAACCTGAAACGGAAGCGAGTAGAATTTTGTCTAGTAGGTCAGACATATACTGTTGGCCCAAAACCGGGAGAAACCCTTACTACACCCCAAAAGCAAGCTTAAGAGGTGAGGGACTCCCCCACTTTTAAGTTGGTTCAACTCCGCCTAAATAAGCAATGTGGGACTATTCACAACATATACTGCCGTGATCTGTTATTCATACTGAAACAGGTGCTTTTTTTTGGAATTAATGCCTACAAATATTTGCTGAATGTACTATAGGAAACATATAATGTTATTACTGGATTATGGATTACCTCATAAAGTTCATTGGATATAAGTCCCATGCCATGGAGAAATGGAATTTTACCACCTTCATCAAATTGGCGTTCGGTCCTTGGATTGCCAGCAACGTACCCCTGCGTCATGTACACAAGGTAAAGAAATTGGTGGAAGGCAAAAGTTAATTGCAGGCCACATTGGTACTACACATTAGCAAGCAATTTATGTAGACTATTGACGTAATTAAGATTCCAAATATAAAATTTCATGATTGATATTTATCTGATAAGATCGATCAGACCATGAGATTCAAAATTGGTTTATCTCCTGAATCATTGCCTGAAAAATATAGACACATGGTCCGTAGTTAGTAGTTGGAAACACACACAATATTAATCCACGCAGAAAATGAACAACAAATTTGTTTTAATAATTCATGAATAAAAAATATATATCTCAGTCCTAATATTTAGATGGAGAGAATTCCATATATATCACTTGAAATTGGCTCATTCTCTTATATACCATTCGAAATTAGCTCTTTCCATCTATGCCACTGGTTTAAATTTCTCGACCCTCTTGTGCTGTTACCACCACTCCATTATCTGTCCATAGTTTAATTCCTCTTTTTCGTTTCCTTGTGCATCTTCTGCCTAAAATCCAATATTGCCCTCTAACAATGCTGGATCCATCAAACAAAAGTTGCCAAACTAGGAAAAAAGCAGGACCTCGCTGAAACTTCGTCACGGTCACAACCAACTTGTTCTATAGCAACTTTCAAGGGCAACTGCATCTTTCTACAATGGAATTAATTGTGAATAGACGATGGAGTGATGGTAGTGGCAAAAAAGAGGATAAATTCGAACCAATGGCATAGATGGAAAGAGCTAATTTTGAGTGGCATATAAGAGAACGAGCTAATTTTGAGTGGCATATAAGGATTTCTCTCATTTAGATGATTGCCAAAACAATAGTATTTAGTTAGTAACAAAAGAAAAATCTTACTAGTAATTGTTGTGATAGTAATTGATATATGGTGATCACCATTACCCATATGAGAGATGGTATTATTTACTGAAATATATTCCGAAACTGCAAGGTGATCAAATTTAATGTTGTGTAACACTGTGAGGATGTCTAAGGAAATTATCCATTCACAATGCAAGAAGCTTACTTTCATCAATCGCTAGCGCAAGTGTAGGTACAATATAACCACTATATGAGTCACCTCCAATATACAGCGGATTCAGCAAGAACTGGGGATGATCATGAAGCCACTGTATAAATTAAAGCAAATATTTTAGAACAATATAATGAGCACTGGAAGATCTGCTATACACCGAGGGGCAAAATAAATGAATATGAGAAAAAAAAAACCCTCAGTCTTAAGCTGTGATAGCGCATCATATCAAAAGTACATAACTTGCTACTGCATTCGCATTTTCAAGCTGTGATTTATTCTCAATCAAAGCAGAGTTTTGCTTCACAGACTCCGTACATCAAAGAGAAAGATTCAGTATCTCCAGGAGAGATAATTCCTTGATTAGTTAATTATGAATCTTATACCTTAGCTATGAAAAAGAAAATGGTCTATGGCCTCATAACATGTGTTTTATATTCACAGCACCATATTTCAAATAGAAACTAAATGTCATAATAATATTGTTTTTTCATAATTAACATGATGCATACCAACAAAAATAATTTATGAAAAAAATATTGTAACTGCTAGTATGCATTTATCTGGCATGTGTAGCGTCCTCCAACCGGATGGGAGTAGAAAGGCAATAATGAAAAGAGTGTTAAAAATTCTTAAGAATATAATAACTGTATGATGCATCATTACTGATTTACTTACTATATACACATAATATCAAACTTAATATTGTATTTGGAAACTCTTTTATATGGTACGACACAATAAGCAAGAAAACTTGAAAATGGCCATATAGTCAGCTACAATGGGCAAATAAAGAATTTACTCATTTTAATTCAGAGCTTCTTAGATTACAGGATTAACTTAATTCACAGGTTGGTCTGTATAGCTTGAGAGAAATTGTTGCACATATATATAGGTTTGGAAACTAGAATTGCAAAATCTAAATTTTGTCTACAAGCGCCAAATCTAGAATAGCAAATTCTGCAAACAAACCCAATTAAGGTGAACAAAGGATAAATTTTCATTGGAAGAAAGTCTAACAATAAATTTTAATGGACATGGCAGTAAAGCACGAGCTACATGCAAAAACAACTTGTCTCAAGCAGTCGATATAGCGCTGCTATAAAGCCTCTATTTCCACAGATGGTTGCATGTAGCTGGCCGCGTGTGAATGCCTTTTTCGTAGGTGTACACCTGTGATAGACCTTTTGCACATGCCTTCTTATATTGTTATGTTGTGCCTTGTGCGGGTATTGTGTTTGCTATCGAAGGAAAGTAACATGACTTTCTCACTGGAAAATTCAGCATTTGAATAGAATTATACATTGGGGATAATTTGACACGAAGGACTACTATGTCTGATGTATACACGAACTTTTGTTCCCCTAGAGAACATAAATCACACTTTTATTTTATTATAAAACTTTTTTTTCTTTTTATGATGTTTATATTTATGAAAAAGTCAAGTTTACTCCCTCGGACTATTTCGTGAAAGTAGTAAACACCCTAAACTATCTGCAGCTCATTTCACACTCCTAACGAGTGAAATTAGTTCAGTTTACTTCGTAACGATATTTCTCTTTTTTCCCTCTTCTCTCTACATACCGAAATAGATGCAGTACAGCTTATGTCTTAACATTTTTTTTATACTTTTCTATCACTGTTTACATATGTTGGAACCACCTAATACTGAACTAAACACAGAGATTTTAAAGATCACGCAAACATTCATGAAAAGATTTTGAAAATAATTTTAACTTTTGATAATGGTTTCATATGCAGCTTATAACTTTTCAGATTAAAATACATCTTGTATAAAGAGGAACCAAAACATAAATTAATCTTATTAAGAAGTAAAGTGAAACATTTTCAATTGTATTAAAGTGAGGCAAAAAATAGTTTAGATGATTAAGTGATCCATTGAAGTAGATTAGGGGAGTAAATTGGACAATTTTCATTATTTGTTACATCTATATAAAATTTGCAGCATTTCAAACAGTACCAGAATATTTTTGTTGCAGAATTCGCTACCTCCTATTAGCTGCTAGTTACTAAATGGTAAATGTGGTACCTCCTGATACATCCAATAGGGTGAAATCTATCTATCTATACCTATACTAATCGGGCACTTTTTAGAAGCTCTCACGTTAATCAGAAAGATCTAACCGTTGATTTGATGGATTGTAAGATCATAACCGTAGATTAATTAATATAACAACCGTGGATTATTAATCGTAGTTTAGGCCACCACCTAATCTATCTTGATGTCGAACCAATATCTAACATGATCTCAGGTGATGTAGTTAGCACCTTGGCCTAGCTTGCATATAGCTGACGGCTGCACCAGTTAGTTATACAATTAATCAATTGATTGCCACGCCGTACCATCAATCTAGCGTTTGTATTTTTAGGGCTGTGGCAACAGCAATATTGACGCTACCTACCACGCCGTAGTCATCCGAGAACATACGGAACTTCAGCGAGCAATCCAATGACGACATCGATTCCCATCGGCAAAGGCAACAGCATGCGTGTGAACGGATCGAGTCTGATGGCCGGCGACAGCGATTGCAGAAGCCACGTTTTCTTTTTTAGGTAAAGATCAGTCGAATCCCATCTAGCTTGAGCAATCCAGCTAAACCGTGTGATTGTGTGTATATGCATGTATCTAGGCAACGGACCGAGAGTCATCGGAGATATAAGTAGCAGTTAACAAGCTATCAAGCAAATTTGATCAAATCATACTCATGCATATGATGCATGCCGCGAAGAACAGGGATTAAACTCACGTATTTGACAATGCCAATTTGATTCAAAACTGAGATTTAACGAGAGATTATATCTTCAGTACACATGATTTGATGGATGCAGGGAGTTTGTACACCAATTTGCAGAGATAAGAAGGAAAGGCTGGTATCAGATTAATTCCATGGAGCAAATCAACGACTGAAGAAAGAAAGGGAAATAGCAGCTTAGTGTATATCGATCTCCCAAGAAAGCAGATGGGCAAAAGCAATGGCCGGCCACAACTCGATATGGGAATGACTGAAGAAAGGGAAATAGCATGCTTTCAGGTTTGCACTGAACTTGATTGTTATTATTTGTTAAATTTTTGTGCAAAATAAATACATTTAGAAATATGTAGTCAAATTATATAAAAATTAATTAGATGCCGATAAATGTCTTTCCTAAGTACACAATATAGTTAAATCATGCGTATTGCGTGCTATAATATATGATGCACACCAGTTCACAAAACACACGGTTAGAAAAAAAGTTTATGCTCATGTTGTACACGGACATTGTATAAGATATAAAACTTCGTTTCTTCATTTTTCGTTTGTCCTAAGTCAAACTTTTTTCATCTAACCAAGATTTTAAAGAAAACATGCTAACACCTACAACACCAAATTAATATCATTAAATCTATCCTTAAATATATTTCTATAGTATATTTATTTCGTGTTGAAAATGTTGCTATATTTTTTATAAAGTTAGTCAAACTTGAAGAGGTTTGAATTAGTACAATGCACTTGGTGTAGTATGACAGTTCTAATATATTTGATACATATTATCCACCAATGTTTTGTTTTGGGGAGGGGACGTATTGCTTCGGTTACTATAGAGCATGTGAAACATTGAAAGTCTTGATTTCTCTTTCACAAATTTTGTAAGTCATTTCGTTATATTTTACATAGATCATAGCAAATTGAATGAAAATTTTGCGCATTCAATGATGTGGATATTTAAATTTCTACATAGTAAATGTTAGTCAATTTTAAATATATTTTTTGCATATTTTCCAATTTGCAGGTTTAAAGTTCAACATTATTTTGTAGCCCTTGCCAACCATCTAGGTGCTCAGATATTTGTCCACAGATCATCAAGTTCATTTGTACCTAAGAAGTCCATCCATGATCGCCACATATGTGAAGGTATCCTACTCAGCGTACCTACAATGCACATAGGTATTCCGATCCATCGATTTGTACAGTCTTAATAATATTTAGATACTCTAATTAACTTTATGGTTCTTAAGGTTTGTTCTAGAATACTTTTCTAAATAAATATAAAGTCGTTATTATTAGGTTAAAATTTTCATATTTGACTTATAATAAGTGGCATGAAGAATGAATTAAATAATTCCTGACAATGAATGGAAAGTAAAAAAGGGAATTGATATGCATCCAAAACAATTTTGGATTACAACATATTTCAGAGATGCAAATCCAAAATAAGAACTATACAGTATGTCCTACACCTATCTCATAATAATACATCTAATACTCCAATTTTTAAATTCTAAGCAATATTATAATTAATATGGGGTCAAATAACTATAGTTAAGAATCCATGAAGGTATTCACAGGCGTAGGACAATTTAAAATGCTCATTTGCCCCAACAAACTAATCTAAGTTTAGTATATAGTATATGCTTACTATTGATGTAGAGGTGGTGAGACTTTGAATCTTTATGTCAATTTTATATGATAATTAATAGTTTTTTACATCGTTCTATACTATTAGTTTAGTCAAATAATTTATCATTTAATTAATATTCATTGTCTTAGTGACTACATGATTTCGCGAGCAAATATAATTTAGCAATATAATTTTTATAAAAGTTGAATAATAAACACAATAAAAAATGTTGATGTTTATATATAATATCAACATTCAACAATAGTACAAAAATGTAAAGAATGTTGGGTCTCCCGTTTTTTGTTTACCAGTATGTCACAATTAATAAGTTGAAATTAAATATAAAGTAATAATTGTGAAGTTGTATCAATATTAATTTTAATCCAAAAATAAGGTCATCATCACGTCATTATTAACTTGAAATTTTTTTCTAAGTCCAATATGTATGTCAAATATTTTATATTCATGTTATGTATAAATAAATAGCCCGTGCACGGATTGGCGACTAGTCTATGCTAATCGGGCGCTCTGAGGAAGCTCTCACGTTAACTACAAGAATCTGGTCGCTGATTATTTAGATCGTTCAATCATGACCATAGATGTTAAAATTTTATCTATTGGGCCTGTTATAAATTCTCATGATACTGTATATATTTTATCCTCTATCTAGCAATTCTACATCATACGAGAGAGAGCACAGATCGGAATGATTCTACAATTGTAATGATACAGAACAGATGCGATCTCAAGGAGATGTGGAACGCGGCGCGTGAGACTTTGCCTGCAACTAGCTTCTCCGGTCATCGTGCCTGAGCTTCTCCAGTCATCGATTGCTCATGCTGATCGGCGGCGATTGGAAATTAAGAACACTTGCAGGCCGCTGGTGTAGCTCAATCATTGTTTGGCGTACCTTATGTTGCTTCTAAATTAATTCCTTGCAGGATTGTGACATATATGTGCACAACCTGGCTTATTGACTATAATTAAGATGGTGATTTTCTGCTGCTGTTGCCGTTCCTGCCGAACCAACAAACCATGCAATTGCCACAACCGCACTTTATCGGTGTTTCTTATAACAGTACAATTCTTGCCTGTTTTTCTTTTTTTTTTATTTGTTATCTTGCTTTAGACAACGATATTTAATTTCCTTTTTAGAACCAGTATTTTAGCAGGATAGAGTACAAGCTAGATGTGCTGCAAGAGGTAAAACTAATATTTCACTCTGTATCTTAATTAGACCTTCTTGGTTAACTCCTTTTTTTTTTTGCCTATTTACCGAAGAAGCACGAATGACTAAACTTCCCGTTTCATTAATTAGAAGCTTACAAAATCATAATAGTACTCTCTTTGTCCCACTGAATATGGCGTTCACAAGATTCAAATTTTAAGACTGAGTTCTTTTATTGAGGTTGAAAACTAACCTTTCACTTACGCAAAACATAGTTACTTATTAGCACATTATTAATTAAGTATTATCATTTTTTAAAAAATAGATTAATATGATTTTCAAAGAAACTTTACTATATAATTTTTTTTTGCAAAAAATACACTGTTTAGTAGTTTGAAAAGTGTGCACATGGAAAAAGAGAAATGAGTGGGAAAGTAAATGAACGAACTCAACCTAAATGTTGGACCAATAATTATTTTATTAGGAATTAAATTTTTTTATGAAAATAATATGATTAGATTAACCTTTGGATTTACAACTTTTGTTTATAATATATAATAAATTTAAAGTCAAATACTAGTTTTGAAGAGCGCGCATTAGTCAGTGGACGGAGGGATTACAAATCAACCTCGCTCAATCTTCAGCATGCACTTAAATATTTTCCACCTGTCCAGGCAGCATCTTTAAACGGCCAGTAAGTGAATCTTTTCTTAATTATATTTTATATATCGCTAAGTTACACATATTTCATTTCAATTGGCATCATATTGAATAATCACGAGAAAATAACAAACACACGAATACATCTTTTATATTATATTCCACTAGTAGTTAATTTGAAAATTAAGGCCATTAGTTAGTTGGATGGTATTATTTACTATAGAACAGGATCAGAATTTGTTTTAAAATAAATATACCTTTGGCGAAAACAAATTAGTGATTAATTATTCACAGTGGAACTATTAAATCATGGAAATTCTATAATTGGGGCTCCAAACTGAATACATATGTGGATACTCACTAATATCGAATTTCAGAATGATTAAAACATGAAAAACTACAATTGAGACTCTTAATCAAGTACAACTCGATAGTTGATAATTAACAAATTTTGGAATTATTAAACCATAAATGGCTATAATTGTGATCCCAAACCAAAAATGCAGTTCAATACACTTATTAATTATGAGCTTTAGAATTATTAAACCATGTAAAAGATAATCGAGGCACAATCAAAGTACAACTTGATATCTCTTATTTATATGTTTTGGTATTATTAAATTTAAAATGATATCTAAACTGGGTTTACTGATACTCACTAATTCTAAATTTCTATATTACATGATAGCAAATGCTGCGGACCCAACATCAGCAATGTAACAGCAGAAACATAAGGATCCATTCTATATAAGTATTTCTAATTAATAATTTTGATTTTTGGAACATAATAACAAAGTAAATTGTTCCTTCTTCAGAAATAAAAAAAGTCCAAGTGTTCGTTCACCGAAATATTGCCAACTTATTCAACATATTATTTAAAATATAATATTTACAATTTCAGTAGTAATAACCAGTGCAACTTAATTACGTGCCGTACAAGCACTTTCTCATTCTCTCTCCATTTCAAAATATAAGTATCTCTAGGATTCCAATTTTATATCACCAATCAGATGTTTGGAAAGGAAATCTAAGATATATATTTAAACTTTAAAAATTGATAACTCAAGTGACAGAAAAGAAATCTTTCGTCCTAACTGTAGTATTTTCTAAGCAACCTAAAAAAACATAATATTTTGTAACGGATGGTGGATGTTACTGAAATGGCATTCGAAGCCTGCGGATGTTCTCGAAGAAAACCATAAGGCAAACAAAAAATATATTAAACCAATTCCATACAAGATAGGTGGTGTAAAAATCTGAAATTCTGGGGCATTGGTCAGCACCGAGTTACCTTTCTGAGGAAAATAACAAGCTGTTTCACTGTCTTGGTATCGCTAGTCTTGGAGCCTTCCTGTGTTGCCGCGTATGAGAATCCTGCCCCTACGGGAGAATCCACAAAAATTATGTTGCTCACCTGCAAAACCATGCAAAATTCATCCATTAAAACCTGGATATGGGCACATGCCTTTTTTTCATTTGAGACAGAGATACAAATAATTTGCTTTGTTGCCACGTCCATTAAATAATGTAAGCAACCTTAGTCCAAGTCTCTGGTTGATAGATAATTTTCGGCAATCCTCCACTGTAATACCGTTTTGCGGCGAATTGGAATGGTCCTATAAATGTATGCACATGAATAATCTGTTAAATACAACAAACGTTATTGTAACATGACCTATAAGCATGGTTTACCATATTGTTTATCCGAAGGAACTCGGTGGAATTTTTTCAATAATCTGAAAAAAATAACCTGCTAGTTAATTTACCTATCTCGTGGGTTAGGCCAGAGAGACTAGAACAGCCAGGCCCACCTGATAGCCACAATAAAAGTGGGTCTACATCAGGATCCTTCTCTGACTGGACAAAGTAGTAGAAGAGACGCACGCCCGTACTCTCGTTCACCTCCACGTATCTGCAAGAGTCATATGTGTGCACACATGATATATATGGATGCCTGGAATTGAATAGCCAATAAGTTTTTATTTCTTTGTACCTAGGGTGTAACCACAATCATTGAAGGAGAAACATATACAGCTAACCACCCATTTTGGTTTAGAAAAAAAATGGTAGGTGCTACTTTGAGCCACATGATTAAATAAAAGTGGCATTGATTTCATTAGAAATGCATATAAAGCTCTACGAATACGGCATTTTGGAATATATTGGAACTATCATTTGGAGGCTATTGTGGCAATTCGTAGTTTGGAGAAGATCATTATATTGGTGTTCATCTCACATAGGTGAAAGACTAGCACTATGATGTACGTATACGTGAATAAAATAATTTATAACTATTATGATCGTTATTGCCTGCACACACATTTTTATGATGCATAACTCTGTCAATGTGTTGAGGCTATTGGATTTTTTAAAAATAATATTATTTGATGGAAAATGGTAAACAATAATTTCTGCCTCATTATAATCGTGAAAGTAGAAGCCAATCGAACTCGTGTCGTGATAGGAGGCTTGTCGAACAGCACAAGTTCGACCGAGCCATATTGACCGTTGGAAACACGGCGAGCCAGACCAATCAAACTACGAGTGGTACAATAGGGGCTTATCGAACTTTGATAGTTCTACTGGGCCCACAACTAACAGCCGCAGGCCCTGTCGAACCACAGTAGCTCGACTGGCCCCAGCATATCCCATATCGAACAATGGGCATTCAGTACAACCCTTTAAATTCCTTCCCCACAGCTCGACAAGGGTCATTTTGATCTGTAGAGGGAGGACTAGTTAGAGGGCAGATCGGCATCTGCAGGGGATGGGGAGTGAGGAGACCACACCTGCGGATAGCGGGAGAGGAGCGGCGGTGGAGGCCCTTCCTCAAGTGATATTAAATTCCCAATCCCTAAGTTACATGTTTGATGTTAGCACAGGTTTAAATTAGTTTTACTAGATTAGTTAGAGTAGTTAAATTTGAAGTTAGTACTTGGTGAGTACATATCTTTTTTAGTTAGTATTAATTTATTATTATAGTGAAAAAGGTTTTTGTTAGCACGTATGTGACTTTGTGCTTAGTTGGTGGTAGTAAAAATTGACACGGAGTATTAAGTTGAAGTTGAACGTATTTTAATGAAGTTGTATTGCATGAGTAAAAACCACATGTGAAATTATTGGGTAGTACCATGGTAAGACAATTTTTCATGTTCTATCAAGAATAGATTTAGAATGATTTAGGCCAAAAGCTTGCTCTAGTTATAGGATAATAGGATGGCAATTCAAAGCTTTCAATCTCAGCCTCGCTCAAACGAAAAATCCTTTTTGCATACGGCCAGATCAATTTTTCGCATGCTCATGTGGACCGCATGCAAAGATAAAAAACCAAAAAAATTGCAAAAAAAAAATCACGCCGGCCGCTCCCGCTGTCGGTGACGTGCCAGTGTCGCGCCGTCCGGTCCCGCCGTCGAATCTGGGTAGGAGGAGCCCTACCGCCCGCTGTCAACCGCTGCTACCGAGCCGCCATTGCGCCGTCCACTTCCGCCGCCGGATCTGGGTGGAAGGAGCCCCGCCGCTCGCCATCGCCCACTGCTGCCGAGCGGGGGATGGCCGCTGCCACCGGATCCGGGAGGGAGAAGCCCTGCCTCCCGCCATCGACCATTGCTGCTAAGCTGCTGTTTCACCGTCTGCTCTCGCCATCACGGGAGCCGCTGCGGACACCGCTCCCGTCGCCGAATTCGGGCAGGAAGAGTCCTACCGCCAGCCATCAATCGTTGTTGCCACCTCGTCGTCATCGTTGTCGGTGGCTCCAGGTGAGGAAAGGGATGGTGGCGGCGGCGCGGCCCCTAGCCACCGCCTTGTCATTGTCCTCGGAGATGAGGAAGGGGATGGCAGGCGGCGGCGCTGCCGTCCGCCGGCCGCCCACTCGAAGGGAGAGAGAGAGATTGAGGAGAGGAAGAGAGAGGAGGAGAGGAGAGAGAAATATCTGGAGAGGGAGAGAGCGGAGAGGGGTGAAAAAAATTTGAAGTGGTGAGGAGGGAAAGAAAGAGGAGTGGAGAAAAAAGAGCAGATATTTTTGCATGCGGACCATTTTAAGGGCCCGCATGCGCATGCGGCCCTTCAGGAGGACTGCATGCAAAAAAATATTCATTTTCGCACGCGGCTCCTTAAGACGTTTGCTTGCAAATATTGATTTTTGTATGTGGATCTCTTAAAAAGCTGTATGAGAAAATAAATGTTGATTTTTGTAGACACGGTCAGTTATGGTTCATCTGCACCCTAACGTGGATCTCGTCCAGGAAATTCGTCTAAGTAGTAGTGTATTGCTACTGATAGTAGTGTCAATTGTTCTGCCAATGCTGTCGCCGCTGTTGTTTGTGAAGGTTAATAACTTATATTTCTGTTAAACAGTTTTGTCACCTGTGTTGTTATTTGTCACTTTGTCAATCGTGTTGGGTGCTGGTCGTGGTCGGTATCGTGAACTATGTTGGGTTGTAAGTGAATTTTTTGTCATATTTCTTTTTAGTATTCTTAACATCACAACTGGAGAACTGATCTTTCGTGGGTCATGCAAAAACCACATTAGTCCCGGTTCCTATTCGAACCGGGACTAAAGATCATCATTTTTAGTCCCAGTTAAAAAGCGCAACGGGACTTTATGATCTTTAGTGGGACTAAATATCATTTTTAGTCTCAGTTAGAAAAGACGTCAGGCTACAGGATGTAGCGTGTCAGGCCCCAATATCTTTAGTCCCGGTTGTTTACACCAATCGGGACGAAACATCGAGAAAATCACGCCGAGCCACACGCCTCCCCGCCTCATCTTATCTCCTTCACACGTCTCCTCCTCCTTAACTCTTTCGCACGCCTCCTCCTCCTCCTCCCCCTCCTTATCTCCTTCGTCGCTCCACCTCCACTCCTCCTCCCGGCCCGCTTCACACGCCTCCCCTCCTCCCCTTCCCCTTTCCGTCGGCGGCATGCGAGGCGGAAGGCGCCAGCGGGCAGCAAGATCTCTCCTCCCCCTCTCCTCTCCTCCCCCTCATCCCCTTCCCCTCTCCGTCGGCAAAGACGACGGCGGCGGCATCAGGCGGAACAGCGTTGGTGGCGGGTGGCTTGCCAAGCCGCCGGGGCCCTCCTCCTCCTCTCCCCCATCTATTGTCGGCGAGGAGGATGAGAAGCAAGAGCAAGGAAAGAAGAGAATAAAGAAAAAAAATTGTGAATGATTTTGTTGTAGATTTTGTGGATGATTTTGTTGTTGCATTCGATCTGTGATGTTAATTTTGATGTTGTTGCATTCAATATGTGGCATTGGAAAAAAACAATATGCAAGCAACAAAAAAGCAATGGAAAAAAAGAAAAAAAAACTATAGTCCGGGTTAGTGTTACCAACCGGGACTATAAATGGTAGCGCTAGCCACGTGGCGCTACTATCTTTAGTTCAGATTGAAGTTACTAACCGGGACGTCCCGGATTCGGGGTCCCAGTTTACAACCAGGGACGAAAGGGAGTTATAAACCGGGACTAAAAACCACATCCCCAATATTCATCTTCCCCAACTGTCAATATTTTGCATTTACATGAACTTAAGGATGATGCTACAAGCTGGTGCTAAATGTGTTGAATGTTTGCAACAGCCAACAATGCAAAGAATATAGTACTAGTCGATCTTTTGTCGGTAATCTCATTGTTTTACCCAGTTATAGTCCTCATATTTTTTTATAATATATTCCCTCCATTCTAAAATATAAGGCACAACCACCCTTAATCTAAAGGCCAAGAAATAATTATTATCAGCTTGTAGTTTGGATCACTCTAATAAATATAATGCATGCATCCAATAGAATTAGAGAATGTGAGAGTAAAGGATTTAAAAATGTAATAATTTAATGGAGAAGATGCCATAATTAATTGCATGCATGCATGCCTTATACTATGGAACATCTTAAAAAAAGTGGTTGTGCCTTGTATTATAGAATTGAGGGAGTAATATATAGATAGCTACATATAGATATCGTATAATCTAAACGGAGAGGCCTCTCCGTTTAGTCATATCGCGAGACACGCATGGGAGCCGTCGATCGGTGCGCGGGCGACGTGGCTTTCATCCGGCGCGCGCGCGTGTCCCGACCGCGTGTCGGCGTCCCAATCGAGCGCACCCGCACCGCTTTTCTGTCCAACCGCAAGAGAGAGAGAGGGCTTTCACTGTTCAAAATTTTGGGTGGCGCTCGAGAGGGAGAGGGGTGGAGAGAGGGAGAGAGGCGGAGGCGGCGAGAATCTCTAGCGAAATCATCGGTGGAGGCAGCGGAGACGTTGCCGCAGCGGCGGTGTGGGAGGCGGGAAGGTGCGCTTGTTTTCATGGCGTCGCGCCGGCGGCGGACGGAGGCAGCGGTTTTTTTCTCCACATCTCGCCGGCAGTTGTGGGGGGAAGCGGAGGCTGCGGCTTAGGTGGTTTTCTGTCCACCAAATCCGGCGGCTGTGCTGTAAGGTGAGGCGTGCATAGAGGTGGTTGCCATTTTTTTTTCAGCTGGGGAGAGGTCGATTGATTTTTTTTTGTGCGATTTTTGTGCCGGGAGAGGTGGAGAGACTTTTGGTAGTTTCACTGCACAATTTTTGTGCGCGATTTGTGTGTGATTTTTGCGCCGGGAGAGGTGGAGAGATTTTGGTAGTTTTCGCTTCCCATGTGTGCGATTTTTTGTGCTCCACAAACGGCCTCTTGGTTTGTTTTCTCCCCCTATAATAGCTCTATCCCCTCATTTCCCCTCTCTAGCTCTCCCTCATTTCACTCCCTCTCTATCTCAGCTAAGTTACTTCCAAAATGTACTGACTTACTTCTAAACACATAAATGTTACTTCCTACTAGTTGTTAAGTTGTAATTTGGTTAGTTTTTGGTGAAACTAATATTTAAAATGATTTTATAGGAATGGCTAGGAAGAAATCCAGTACTGTTAACAAGTAATTCAGTACATATTGTCATTCTGGAAGTAAGTTAGTACTGTTTAGAAGTAACTCACACATTACTAGGAAGTAAGTTGACACATTTGCAGAGTAACTAATTACAGTTTTGTGTTGCTGAAAGTAAATCAGTTTTGTTTTTGAAGTAATTCAGCACATATTGTGATTTTCTAGAAGTAAGTTAGTGTATTTCTAGAAGTAACTTACACACTACTAGAAAGTAACTTTGCATAAAACAAATACCAACAGAAGTACCTGAATAGATTGCCCATGTCTGTTTTTTTCGAAGTAAGTCAGTGTAGTTTGGGAGGTACTTCTGAATAGATTGTCCATATCTGTTTTTTTCGAAGTAAGTCAGTATAGTTTAGGAAGTAAGTCAGTGCAGTTTGGGAAAGTAAGTCCATGCAAATTATGGAAGTAAGTCAGTGTAGTTTGGGAAGTAAGTCAGTGCAGTTTCTATGGTTTTTTGGATGGATCTCAAAAAAACAGAGGATGAACTTTATGTGTACCTGTGATCTTTTTTTTTTGGATCTACTATACTTTCTTCTCCTCATCAACTTCCAAGTTGATGGTTTCCTCTTCCTCTCCCCTGTTCGTGCTTTTCTGATTTTTTTTTCACCATGGCGGCTGCGTGTGGATTGACGCCGCCGGCTGTCCGGATTTGATGGGTTGGAGGGGGGAAGGAGGCGCGCAGCGCTCTGTCCTAGCCGGGCCCATGCCAGCTATACCATGCGAAGCGAGAGCCGTGCGTTGCACGCTTTCCTCTTTTGGTAGGGGCGCGCGGTTGCTTTTTCTGGCAGGGGCGCGCGTCGCGCGATAGAGCTATCGCGAGACCGATTTCGGTCTAGTCGCGTCCTATAGATATATATACTCGCCGTATTGACGTATTGATGCTTTTGAGACCCGTAACGCGTATCTCTGCATATCGCGAATCAATAAGAAAAAAAAGAAGAGGCATATCGCGATCGGAACAACAGTCATGCGCGCATTGTATACAGTATACATACCCGGTCTCGAGGGAGAATGGCAGTGGGCCGTCGAATCCAGGAAGGCTCGTCACGGCGACACCGGCCGCCGGCGCCACCGTCGCCGCCGACGAGGCAACCCAACAAACGAAGCAGCAGGCGAGAGGCAGCAGCCACCACCACCACCTCCTCCAATCACGGCGGCTGGTGCTTCTCCTCGCAACCATCGCGCTTGCTTCCTTTCCCATCTCGGCTCCGTAAGTACAAGCAACTCTATGTCCTCATGCTAACGATATAGGAGTATAAAAATAATGCCAGGTTACCCAAATCGAATTTATGGTATCGAATTGTATTTATTTGTTGTATTGATTACGTTGGACACGTAGCTGTATTGTATTTATATCGTATACGATAGTGTTGCTGTCAGCTTTGATTAGGCGTTCTTTTCAGATTTCAGACAGCTACATTATGGATGTTCAGGCCCTGCTTAGATAGTAACTGAAAATTTTTCACCCTGTCAAATCGAACGTTTGAACCCCTTTATGAAATATTAAATATAGATTAAAAAATAACTGATTATACATATTGCGACTAATTTACGGGACAAATCTTTTAAGACTAATTGCTCCATAATTTGACAATGTGGTGCTATAGTAAATATTTGCTAATAACAGATTAATTAGGCTTAATAAATTTGTCTCGCGGTTTACTGACGGATTCTGTAATAATTTTTTTATTAGTGCCCAAACACCCCATGTGACACACCCTATATAGTACTCGATGTGGCACCTGCCGTCACGATCGACATTTCTAGACAATTTCAAATGCACTGTTCACGTTTCATATTTATGCTGTGAAGATTTGATGCATGGGAGGATCGAAGGGACTATTGGAGTGTATAAAGTAAATTGCCCGTCTTTCCCTATCAGCTTAGGCTTTTAAGTGCAACTGGCTGGTGCATGCAACTTAATATGGTATCAGAGCCAGAGGTCTCGAGTTCGAATCCTGGCTGGCGCACAATTAAATAAATAATTGCAGCCCACTCCAATATTCCACGCTTAAGACTTGAGAGGGTCTCGTGTGAGGGGGAGTGTTGGAGTGTATAAAGTAAATTGCCCGCCTTTCCCTATCAGCTTAGGCTTTTAGGTGCAACTGGCTGGTGCATGCAACTTGGCGGACCTGACAATGACGGTGAGGGAGACAGCCAATCGGAGACGATCTCCCCCAGAGCGGCGGCGACCTAGGCGGAGACAAGGCCGTCCGTCAGCCGCGGAGCCCGGCGGAGGTCGATAAGCTGACGGTTGCCATCGGAGGTAGGGGCGGTGGAGGTAGGACGACGAGCAAACCGATGATGACCGGACCTGACAATGACGGTGAGGGAGACAGCCAATCGGAGACGATCTCCCCCAGAGCGGCGGCGACCTAGGCGGAGACAAGGCCGTCCGTCAGCCGCGGAGCCCGGCGGAGGTCGATAAGCTGACGGTTGCCATCGGAGGTAGGGGCGGTGGAGGTAGGACGACGAGCAAACCGATGATGACCGGAGACTCAGCTACTGCTGCTTGATGACGATGCAAACGCCCAAGAGATCGATCTCTCTCAGGACATCGACTTGACAACGCGAAGGAAAAAAAAACGGTGGCCGCCCCCAGGAGATTGAAACCCTCCTGGGGGCGACGAGTGGAAGCGTGAGAGAGAGGCGACTAGATCGCCCGCTCTGATACTATGTTGGATAGTATAGGAGAGGTATACTGCGTATCGTGGAACGATTGTATTGAGCCTCAAGGAGCCGGTATATATAAAAGTACATGGGGAGGAGATAAGGAAGGATTACAGATATGGAAGGAGTCCACACAAATCAATCCTATCCTAATATGACTCTAACTACCATATACTCTAACAAGAAGACATTGGCATTCGAATATTTGTTCCAGACTGACGAACACTGCTATTCTCCAAGTCGCAATCGATCATCAGTTTATCAATCTCTTGTACGTTGTCATATTGGCACACCAGTTTTTGAGGTTTCCTTCGGTTTGAAATACCCTCTGTTTTATACTCCCTCCATCCCACTATATAAGCGAGCAATTTTAGAGGGGTGTAACACATCTTACAACTACAAATATCTAAATTCGTAGTACTAGGATGTGTCACATCCCTCAAAAATCAGGACGGAGGGAGTATTAAAAGTCATTTTGACTTTTTTAACCAAATTTTGTTAAGTTTGATCACATGGGAAACATTAACAAAATCTAAAACACTAAATTAGTTTTATTCAATTTAACATTAAATATATTTTGATAATATGTTTGTTTTGTGTTGAATTTACTAACTACATTTTATATAAGCTTATCAAACTTACTAAAAATTGGTCAACAAAAAATCAAAATGAGTTGTAATATGAACGAGGGAAGTGTTATACTAGATCACCATAGAAGTTTGTTGAATCTCTCTCTTATACCTATTGGAAATAAAGATTTGTTATATGACCCATGTCATAAATGTAGTTAGTATATGGCATGGATGAGAGTCCACATGCTATATACTATGAGTAAAAAAAGTTAAATATCCCCTCGGAAGTTGATGAGGAGAACAACCACTAGCGCATCAATCTTTTGTCGGTGGCCGCCGCCCCCCGACAGTGAACTTTTATGATGCTGGTTGGCCCGTATTAAATTGCACATGTGTACTGTGTACTGCAACGGGAAAGACCAGCGCTAACCAGCATCATTGCCAATTTTTGGATCGGCTGTGCACAGCCACCAGTGTAATCTTTCATCCATGCAAACCTGTATTCTCGAACAAGAGTCAAATCATTTCTTCCTACTATATAGTAGTTGGTAGAAGTTTTACGGTGTTAAGAGATGTAGAGGTATTAAAAAATAGAGAAACGTAAAGTAATTAACTTGTAAAACAAGTGTATTTCATTGAAGGGGATTATTGTCAACTCAATCTAATCGGTAGTAGGTAAACGCAATGTAAATCACTCAATCAGTTATTTAGATCGGTAGGGGAAAGAAAGAACAAAGATCTTGCATTTAGTTTGTTAGAGTGCGTAGCCCGGCTCACCAACCGTGGGCCACACAGGTCATATTGGGCCTGCTCCACCACAGGCCCAACCGGAGCCATAACTTTAGATCCTGGACCTACACAACCTAAAAGACTAGTCTGATGGGTGAGGACCGCCCCCACCTTTTAAATCGTGCTCCCCCATCATCAATTACCGATGTGGGACTAAACCCAACTTTCCCCCCATCACACATCGGGCCCAACAATCTCCACCATGTGACCCATGGAAATTGTTCCGGGTTTCAAACCTTTGGCTCTGATACCACTTGTTATAAAAGTTAGTTGATATAGCGGAACGACGACTAACCTTCCCGATCGCTTCAATCATTATTCACCCAAGACATGCCAGATGACGACACAGGAAAACAAAAATATTTGTTAACGAGGTTTAGTCGAAGCCTACATCCCCGGAGCTCTGATTATGCGCGCTCCTCCCCAACCAATATAGCTTCTAGCCGCTACGAGTCCATGGCCATGCCGCCATCGTCTCCCTGTGTGTCTACGCTACATTGTAGTCGCCATGGTTATATTGTGGTGCGCCCCTCTCTATTTAAGAGAGATGCCGGATTACAGAGTCCGACTGTAACTCCACCCCCTAACACCTATTACAACTCTAAGTCCAACTGTAATCAAATAGGACTAGTATATTCGACACCTATTCTAACAACACCTATTCTAACATAGTTGTGTTGAAGTGGGTTAAAATCTTTACTTGTTTGTGGCTAAAAACCATAACTCCCGAATTCCTGTTTCCCTTATCTACCATTGCGGTCTGTGTCAAGTGCGGAGACTCGAACGGTATCTGTATGACAGCGGGAGACGACCAACGATAGCAAACACCAAGTAGGCGTGGACTGGCGATGGCAACTGGCATGTGCTTGTTCAACGGTGAGGGCTTTGGCAACTAACAGGGCAGCCGGCGGCAACTAGCAGTGAGGCAAAGGCCCAGCCAAGCAAGATTCAGTCATATTTTAACTGATGCAATCACTTATATTATAATCTATCATATTTTTAGGCACAATACATAAATCTGAAAAAATCACGCAAATAATGTAATGGATATGAGGACGAATTAACCCATACTGAAGAATTACCAATACTACCCTTACCTATGTATCTATCACTACTGTCAAAGACAATCCTACTCTTACTTATTGACCAGTAAAATTATCTTTTTATCCTTCCTATCTAAGTATCTCAATCAAGTATAAGTATCTTTTGCATACTACCTTTCACTACGAAGTGTTGGTTCTTTACTTTTTATTTTTATGCAAACACCATTAAACTTCTTCATAGTTGGAACCCACTGTAGAGATTATGCCAACCGTTTGATTGATACATCTTTCTTCTCAGCCATTAGGTTAACAGAAAAGTACGAATTGCCCCTGAACTATCACGGCCAATCGATTTACCCCTGTCGATGTTTGATAGTCACGACTAGGGTATTTGGATGTATGGGGATCGTTGGTACTAGGGTATATGCGAGATTGAGGTAAAAGAGATGGAGATATGGATTTTTATATAGGTTCGGGCCCCTTATTTGACAGGTAATAGCCCTACATCCTGTTGGCCGAAGCCGGTGTTGCTTCTTTATTCATCTGAATCATACAAGTACAACAATTGGGATAACCCATCTAGCTGTTGTTGACTTGGCGGCTAGATAACCAACTCGTAGTCGACGACAAGGTAGTCTTCCTCCTCGAATATGAACTCGTCGAGATCAGAGATGGCGCTAGATCCCTCTTTCTGGCCTTCGTAGGCACCGGATGGGGTATGTCTAGGCTAATCTCTGATGTCGAGATCTGGCGGCGTGTGTTGGCTTTGTGTATGTTGCGTCTTGTGGCTTTGTGGCATCTTGTGGCTTCGTAGATTATGGTGGGTGTGTCCTCTCTCCTCCTAGAGGGGCTTGTATTTATACCATGGTTGCCCACTTGTCCATGTAAGACTAGAGAGACCAATATGGATACAATCCGATTAGTCTTTATCGTTTCCATGTAGAACTATATTTGTCATTTCTTATCCGAAACTCCTTTTATATACGAGGTTTGTTTCCGTATAAGACATGGTATGTGGTGGGCCCTGCCAAGTTTAGTTAACTACTATTAGGTTTGTGGTATCCATAAACATGACAATCCCCTTAAACTCGAAAATCAGACATCGATTACCCTGAACTTTCAATATCGAATAAAACACCCTTTTGCGAGCGGTTTGGGGTTCAACTAGCATACGTGACAGTCTAGTCAGTAATTTTTTATTTTAAAAAATAGTGGAGCCCACCTATCATATTCTCTGTTCTCTCTATCCCCTCTCACCTATATGTGTCTCTCGTCGCCTCGTCGGAGGCTCAGCACTCTGCTTAATTACACACTAATTCCAAATTAAGTTGTAAGTAATCACGCAAGGCAATGAGCATCTCTAATCGCTTCAGCTGGAGAGCTCGGGAGCTTGGACACGATGCTGGACATGGCGAAGGTGGCGGAGCCACCAACGACGCAGGCGAGGGCGACCACGGCCTGGACGGCGACCTCCCTTGGGTACTCCTCCGTGACGAGGTAGACAACGGCGGGGCCGGCGGCGAGCAGCAGCAGCGCGACGCCGAGCAGCGCGCCGGGTGTCCCGTGGTCGGTCGCCGCCGATAGCACCTCCAGCTCTTCCGCCTTGTAGAGCAAACCCAGCCACTCCACCGCCGACAGTGACAGCCCGGCGCGCTCCGCTGCCGACAGGAGCACCGTCGTCCCCGCCTTCGTCAGCAGCCGTAGCTTCTCCACGTTCATTAGCAGCTTCACCGGCGGCGCCGCCGCCTTCCAGCTCGTCGTCTGGCGTGGCCCCGGCTCTCCCAACGGGAAGTACACTGTCGTCCCTTGCACCGCCGCTCGCCGCTGTTAGCTAGCTCGATCGATCTACAAGCTCACACACCATGGGGAAGAAGAAAAATCGCTAGTCGGTCAGTCACTTACCCTTCTTGTGCCGGAGGTGGGCTTCTGGTGGCCATGGTGGCGACCTTGTGAATGCGGCGGTGGCTGCTCAGCCTCGCCGCGGTTGCCACGACTTTGGCCGACGACAGTGACGGCATCGCCTCTCACCTCTCTGTCTCAGTTAGAATTTGTGTCGAATATGTGTACGTAGTGAGTTACAATTTAGGACTTGGAGTTGTAATAGGTATTAGGACTAGAGTATGAGTCGGACTCTATCCTAGGATCTCTCATAAATAGAGGAGCGTGCCTGTTGTAACCGCATGGCGACTTAGCATTGCTGTAACTCTGATACGCACGGCTGCCGGCGGCGACCGGCCGTGAGTCGTTGTAACTTTGATACGCTGTATATGCTGGATCGGGGAGGAACGCCCGTAATCTGTGCCCCGGAGATGTAGGCCTCGGCTGAACTCCGTTATCAAATATCGTGCCTCGGTGCCGTCATCGTGTTTGGATCTCCTATGGTGTTTATTCCGTGTTTTGTTTCCGATGTGATTTCGGGCCGGTTTTAAAAACAAGTGGTATCAGAGCCTGTGGGAGATCCATGGTAACGGTCGGAAAAACGGCAATAAGCGATACTCTCGGAGACACGGGCATGGCAAATCCGAAACAATACCAAATATTCCGGACTTGGGGGGCATGTGTTAATAACCAAATTTGGTAATCCAAGTATCGGAGATGAAGATAGGGTCAAAGCGGAATTTGAGATGGAAATCGTTCCGGAAACAGAGTAAGGATCGGCTGGAGTCTGAATCGGCTGCGACTGGGATCGGCAGAGTCCGAGTTGGACAAAGTTAGCCGATTGAGCCGAATCCAACAATGTGACATGGTATATGTTGTCAGGTTGGGTTAACGTGCTTCATGAGGATTGCTACGCACGGATTGAGTCCTGAGAAGGCAATTGTATCTACTAATTAGGATATTTCATGTAATTTCCTTAGAGATATGTTTGGGCAAAAGTCTGCCGCAAAGACTTATGGTATCTTAGAGTTTGTTAGAGATAAGAGTCATGTCCGACACGGACATATTTTGTAATCTCGGGTATAAATAGACCCCAAGCCCCATGTAATATAACAACACACGTTCAATACAATCTTTGCGCATCGCCACCCTTTACTTTCATTTTGTTTCGACGAGTTCTTGCTTTCGGGTTGAGCTGCAACGGTTTCGATCTTCAACTACAAGTAAAACTTGTTATGGCGGTTTGCGTTCTCGGGATTAGTGCTTCCATCTTTATGATACTCTAATCTTGTTTATGTAATTCGTCGAGTTATCATATATTCTATATAATCTCTACCAATATTGTCATCTAACCTCCAATCGGCTAACGTCTGCAACTAGAAGGTAGCCGATCAGGTTAAATACTAATGTTGACTTAGATTATATAGGATATCCACCACTCTATGAAACAACCAGCGGCTTGATTGTCTATATATTGTTCTTCTTTTCATACTTATAGCTCCATCAGTTGAGTTTGACCTTATAAGTCGTGATTAGAATCTCAATCTCTAGCCTGCTTTTGGTTGCCGATTAGGGTAGCATCAGGGTTTCAGCCAATCTTACCTGATTTAACTACTTTTATCCTATATGCTTGATTGACATGTTAAATCTGCCCTTTATATTAAGATCTTATTGCATTTAAGTATATTTAGGCTTTTGTTTAGTATATTCTACTTGCTTTAATATCTTAATATAGAGTAGTATCGGAGTATTAGCCGATACATGCTAGATCTATCTGATCAGCTATGCTATGAACATATATAGTCTTGTTGTTAATATATATTTCGATCTAAGTGATTTATACTGTCTCGGCATGGTAACTGATCTATCCCAATCACTTGATTTAAGTATATATCGACATAAGAATTATATATTGTTAACATCTATAGCCGATCGAATAGATTTAGTTCTTTCTTATTTATCCATGATTGCCGATTAATTCACATATGACATCGTCTCAAAAATAAATGATATGTCATCGGCAACTAGCCGATCGGCTATCGTTTATGGATTTAACCGCGGTTTCTTTGTCTTTATTTCTTGTTGATTGCAGGATCAAATCAACTGGCACACTCACACACCTAAAGGCAAGCTTTTGGGCCTGCATTGGAGTTAAGCAGATCTCCTAGGCCTCGTGTTTTTACATCAACAGGCTATAGCGTCACAATGCCGAAGTGGGAGGAGATGGAGGCCAGCTTGATTGAGAGGGGTATCAAACCGGCCACCGCTAAATGGCCGGATCGATCGAAGTTCTAATACTATGCTCACGGTGGAACGCTTAACCCCGTTGATGGCTCCCTGGTGTTCAGCGATCAGATACGCGAGGCTGCCAGTCGACTAACGGACGCAGTGGAAGCCTCTTCTCAGGGCACGTTCCGACCCGACAGAGAGAAGGACGAGCTGTCACTCGCCTTGAAGACTCCCGAGCATTCGGGAAGAACACGAGGAAAAGGCATGGTTCCTTGGAAGATTGGATTCAAGGAGGACATCCACACGTACAGGAGTCGGATGAGGAGCAAGAGAGATACTGAGGTGAAGATTGCAGATCTTGAGTACAGGGTATCGAGCTACGAGCTCAGCATGAAAGAGGAGGTGGAAAGGAAGATGGATGAACACATGGCCGCACATCGGTGCCAGGATCCCCAGTCGTACATTCCTCCTATAATGGTCAGCCCCTCAGGGCAATCGTAGCAACTACGCCTCAACGGGGCAGGTAGGATCACAGAGCATGGATGCCATGCAAACTCAGGATGAAACCACCTGCCCCGTTGATGAAATCATGCAGCGGACACCATGTGAGCTGCATATTCCCTTCAAGAACTTATCAATCAAGGTATGCCCGTAGTATTATGTTTTTTGGACTTGTACATTCCGCAAGTTTCTGCCTAGGTTGATTACTAATAGATAACCTCTCATCACGTGAAGGTTGCATCAGGAATGGCCATCCCAACGGACCCTTCAGGGACTTACCACTGCAGGCCGATTCCTGCAGGATACTTGAGGGTCGAAATTGAGCTGGTGGAAGCCACGTACGAGGACCTCGAGTTGGAGTACCCTAGAGGAGACGGTGAGACGTATCTACGCGACACAAGCCACGCCATTATACTATGGCGCAAGCGCTACATCATCCTCCCTAGGCGACAAGCGGCGTTTCGTGCACCATCCCCTCTGGCTCCACCGTCTCCTCCTCAGGCTCCTCCACCGTCTCCTCCTCAGGCTCCTGCACTGTCTCCTCATGATTAGGCTCCTGCACCGACTCCTCCTCAGGCTCCTGCACCGACTTCTCCTCAGGCTCCCGCGCCGTGTCCTCCAGCACCTTCCAAGTCAAGAACTCACCAAGCTCCACCACCTGCCCGCACAAGGGCAACGAAGAAGGCGAAAGTTGATGCCGCCGAGAACAAGGAGCCACCTTACGACTGCACGCAAGAGGAGCTTGACGCTTACGTGGCAGCAGAAGTGAAGAGGCAATTGAAGCCTCGGAGTCTAGAAAAGAAGATTCCTATACACCCGAGTGCCAAGAAGTTCTTCAGGGGTATGTCGGCACCAGTCAAGGAGGCCATAAAGCTAACGGACTACAAGCGAACACTAAAGAAAGCATATTATGGGAAGTCCAAAAAAGTCCCTCAGCTTGGAGAGCAACCAAGCCAGGAGGTCGAGCCGTTGGTGACCTGGCAAGAAATTGGAATAAAAGAATTCATTTCTGACACTGGGCTAACTAGGGCTCAGTTGCTTAAAGGCGAACCAATCCCAAAGGCGGAAGTGAGACACCAGTACGAACTCGGTAAACCGCTTGTAAAGCCTGAGCAGCTGCAGTCCCTACCAACACAGATGTACAAATTCCATCAACGGTACATGGAGATGAGCGCCAGCGGTAGGGAGATTATCGGAGCGAGGATCAAGAACACTGACTTCTTACAAGGGGAAGATGTTCTCTGGATCAATTTCAAGGATATCTACAAACTATACCAGCTGGACGCCCTCGACGTCTCTATTCTGAGCGCATGGATTTTCTAGGTATCGTTGAGTTATATTTCTTACATTCCTTTAATTAGCTCCTTGTATATATGTACACCTCATATAACAATTCCTTTATATCGTTGTAGAATGGAGATTCAAAGGGCCCGACGGCGGGGGGTTTTTGATACTAGATTCATCGACCCTCGGAAAATAAACGTCGAAATGGTCACCAAGTATCCGCAAGCCACAGAGGACAATCTTGACCATCTCCTCAAGGAGTAGCATTTCAAGACGTTCATACTACTGTCGTACAGCACAACGTTAGTTTTTACTGTCTACCGAACAAATTTCGTTCCTGTACAAATAGATGTACAGTGTTTCATATATCACCTCACACAAATTGCAGATTCCACTAGGTCCTTTTACTCTTTGACTTGGAGGAATGCAGAGTCAATGTCTATGACTCAATGAATAAAGATGAGTCTACTTTTGACCAAGTTTTTGAACTTATAGACAGGTAATGTCATATATTCCAGTGTTATTATTACGAATTTTGCTATTGCTAGTACGAATCATATCTTTAAACTCCATGTAGGGCTTGGTATCGGTTCCGTCATTTGGTCTGCGACACTTGGAAAGAAAATTTTTCGCCGGAGGTTCAAATTTGCATTGAGTACATGATCTAAATTTATATTCAATCTATAATTCAAATATAAGTGTATATTAATTAAATCTCTCGTCGTTTGTGATGTATGTAGTGTGCAAAGCAGGAAGAGGGAACTAACTTGTGCGGATACTATGAATGCTAGTATTGCCACTGCCTTACAACCCAAATCATTGCCACAAGAGAGCTCGATGTACGTAAAAATAAATCATTCAAAATTTCATTGCGTACGTATTGATTTCTTTTATCCTAATTAATTTCATACATTCATAGGTTATTCGCATGAGGGATAACCTCACACACAAGGAATTTATCGCGGCGGTTCAAGAACAACTCATGGGATTCATCAACGAACGAGTCCTTGATCCCGAGGGTAAATTCTACTACGATGAAAATACAATTCATAAGTCGTTAGCTTCTGAGATAACGACTACTACGTCGAAGTCGAAGCTAGCTAGGACATAATGAATTGTAATTAATACATGTCTATTTTTACATATGTACACATTTACTTTAATGTAAATATATATTTTGGTTATATATGCACATAAAATATTAAGTGCTTTAATATATACATATATATATATATATATAACCATGCAGCAACAAGCCCATGCAAATAAAAAAAAGGTAGCTCGATATTTAGTCCCAGTTGGTAATACCAACCGGGACTAAAGACGACTCAGCCAGCCACATGGCTAACCCATCTTTAGTAGTCCCGGTTATTTCACCCAGGACTAAAAATAACGATCTTTAGTCCCGGATTCGTAGTCCCGGTTGGACAACCGGGACTAAAGGGTGGTTACGAACCGGGAGGAAAAAGGGTTTCTCCACCAGTGGATGTTCCACAAAGTATATCGGAATTGTTTCACTAAGTATATCGAAAATGTTTCAATCGTTTAAATCGGGCGTTGTTTCACCATATATAAACACAATGTTTCAGCAAATAGCGAAAGAATGTTTCCATTCACTCCAACATTTGATCCATACATAGTGAAACATTATAAGTGCACTAGTTGAAACATTTGTGGTGGAAAAAAAAAGAAACGAATTCCCTTAATAGTGGGTTTCCAAAATATGTGGGTGATTTGTTAAAAAAAATGTTTCAGTTCACTGTAATATTTGATCCATATATAGTAAAACATTACAAGTACACTAGGTGAAACATTTTTGGTGGAACAAAAAATAAAACGAATTCCCTTAATAGAAGGTTTTCAAAATATGTGGGTGATTTGTTGTAAAAGAATATTTTAATCCACTGCAACATTAGATCTATATAATGTTTCAACATTGTAAGTACATTAGGTGAAACATTTTTTTGGAACAAAGGGAGGGACAGGTGGGTGCACCCAGCGGGGTGCGCGTGTTGGGGGAGGGGGAGCGACCGATTTCCCCCCTCACCCGGTCGACCGATCCTAAGAATTTTCGTGCAAACGTGTCACAGTTTTTCTGTTGTTACTAATTAAATGCTACCATCATGTGTATTACTACTCCCTCCGGGTTGATAATACTTGTTGTTGTGGACAAGGGCACAGTCTCCAAAAAACAATTTTGACCACTATTTTTCATCATAATATATATAAAATTGTTAGCAAATATATGATCTTATTAAAGTATTTTTTAAGACTAATCTATACATGTAGTCATCATATTTGGAAGACAAATATTTTTAAAATGATTCATAATCAAAGATTCTAGAGTTTAACTTCACTCTTGTCCAAAACGACAAGTATTATCAGCCCGAACGGAGTAATTATTACAAGCAGCAAATCTTTATTTTACCTCTCATATGATCGTTTGATTATGTTTTTACAGGTGACTTGAACAATATACGTCAGAGAGGAGTGCCTGAAATCCATCTTGCAAACATCTCTTGACACTCCTTGGGTTTATACTCTGCAGCAGTATGCCCAGCGCCCTGCATTGGTATACACATATGTCAAGATTATAAATATTATATATCCAAATCACGACTAATTGTATCGCTTGTTTTAGTATATTGATATTTTTGCATGAACTAAAAAAATACTCTGTATATATATACTCTAATAACATGCATATATGAAAATGCACCTTCACAGTTGCGTATGTCAGGTTATTACTCGCAAAGCTTCGTGTGAATCTACAAAACAAAGTAACCAAGTTAGGGTATGATACAAGCAAAACATATCAGCATATGTCCCAAACAGCTAGAACATAATAAATAAGTATGTTTATTTTGGACAAATAAGCAGATAACAATATCCAACTGTATCATCATATATAGGAATAGAAAACACATCTTCCACCCATGATCCACTATACCAGCAGGCCTTCATTGATGAGTTAGAATTCTGATAAAATATAATAGTTAAGCATGACAATATATCTTCACATTAACAGATTTGACACACCTTTGAATGTCTCTAATGAAGTACTGTGAAGTAATATTATCTCTAGTTGAAATACACATTTTACCTCTTGGTAGCTATACTCACCAAAGAAATTGAGGCATTTCCATAAGACCATAAGGGCTAATTGTAAAAGGTCTAATTCGTGACATCACGTTCTATTCCAGTGGTACCAACAGACACCAAATTAATACTAGAAGTGTAACTGATTGTATGATACATTCTTAGGCTGAGTTATTTTCTTCACTTTCCTAACTTATCTCTTTTGTTTTTCGTGCACACGCTTTTCAAACTGTTAAACGGTGTGTTTTATAAAAAAAATCTATACATAAGTCGTTTTAAAAAAAATCATATTAAACCATTTTCAAAAAAAAAAGCTAATACTAATTATTCTTACATCGTTTTATGTGTAGGAGGAGGGGTTCCCAACACCTCCCAAATATAGCCTTAGTATGATAATGGTGGTGCGATAATTTTTTAATGGCATGTTTAGCACAACTTCAGCTCTCAGCCAAACAGTTTCAGCTCCACCTAAAATGGGAGCGGAGCTGGGTGGAGCTCTATCATAAAATGAACTAGAGAGTTGGAACTGGGTTTAGGCTGCTCCACAACTCTAGTGCAGACCCAACTCCTGAAGCTAGATTTGTTCCCTAAGTTAATTTATGATACCTCTTGGTACATCATCTCTACGGTAAAATAGGTCATGCTACAAAGTGCAGTGCGTAGCTCACACTAGAAAGCATAGTATATCAAGTATAATTTTAACAATGAGTGTTAACGGAAACACTTACCCGGCAACTTGTCCATCAACGTACCACGGTCGCCAATCATCAGCAATAGAAAGGTTAAGTAATCTAATCCATGCTTGTGTGCTAATGGAGGGAACTCTAGAATCATGATCACCGCTGCATCGTTAATTACATGAAAACATTAATCCACGTATCTGGGTTAACCTGTTTACTATCGACGAGAAGAGTTATTTTGATCTCAACCACAAGGTTGCATTGGAATATAGTATTATATAGAAACATGGGGATTTATAGATATATATAGCTTAGTTTGTGACTGCAAAAATCTTGTATAAGAATTTAAATTTCTACTGTAGTAGTTAACTCCATGTATGTACACCTGAATATATATTATATGATTAAGAGAAATCAGTCCAACAAATCAGTACCGAAAGACGAATTACCTGTATATGATTGCTCGGTATCCCTTTCTCATTAGCGTCAAATGATATTCCACTGTACTACGGACATCGCTATTGTAATCTATATCGCGATTGCATCGTTTCCACTCTCCAACTGTTCCCTGTATTGCATAGCAGTTCTTTTCTGAAATTACACTGATCATATTTGCACAACTATCATGGAATTAATGCAGATTTCACCCTTTCTCTTAGGCCTTGTGCAAATATAGGTAGTACCATAGTACAAATACCTTTTGCACACCAAGACTCTCCCTTACTGTTTCATCATTTGCCCATATTTTTAATAACACGTGGGAAGCTTTCTGCAATAAATTAACCAAAATTAAAAGTTTTTAGCTCGAGAACTATCCAAAGAAACTGAGGGGAAAAAAAAGAATTCAATGGGATTGTATGATGTTGTAATAATATTTATGCACGCAACTCTACACTCAAATATAATAATGTCATCATCGGCAGCAGCAGGACGAGACTCCAGCATGAGCCTACTCATTACATCTCTCGCTGCAGTGTTATGGATGGGGCTCTGGAGTTCTTCACATAATGGCTCAAGAATGTGTCCCCTGTTGATGTCCTTTGTGCACTAAATGGTTGGTGAAATGTCAGCGAATTTGTAAACTATAATATTAATACAACAGAACAGACAGCTATATACAGTAATTTTGAATAAATTATTGATGTTTCTATACACACAGCGGCGTAATAGAGATCATTTTTATTGGGGGTACTTACATCGTTTATTGCTTGGACGGAATGCGCACATTGAGCATTGCTCGGAGCACTGTATTTTTCTCCGCAGGTCTCCTTTGCATGCTGATAGGAAATTTGTTTGAGTGGTGATTATATATAAAATGAAAGAACTATTACAGTTAGTGTCTAATGATCCGTTCGTGTGTCATACTGTCATGAATGGATAAAGATGGCACATTACCCAAGCTACTAAATGTTGCTGTTTTGTAAAAAGTTATATATTTATATATAAGTTTAGTCGAATATTTTTTTTAAAAAAACTATTCAAGTCGTTTTTTTTAAAAAAAAACTATTCAACATTGTAATACCTAATTGAGTATTTTCAGAAAAGCAGATAATCCATCATCTATTCATCCGTTGAGCTGAAAAGAACTACTGTGCCATGGTGGTCAGGCATATATGGTTACCACTTCAGAAATGCACATAGAAGACGACACTAGCTATAGATGTCGACTATGCTAAAACTAGCACCTATAGATCTTTTCTCACTTTTCTGTGCTGAAAAAAAAGCACATTTAAACGATTGTAGGCATTGGTATTTTGAAAAAAAACCGACACCATTAATTTATTGTAGGTGCAAGTTAATTAAAAAACCGGCATCAATAATGATTATTGGTGCCGGTTTTTTAAAAAATAGGCAAGCGTAAAAAACCGAGCCAAGCTGATCGTTAACCTTATCCTCGGGAGCAGATTAATCTGCTCCTGCGGCTCTCGCGCCTCTCTCTTCCTTCCCAGCGGTGGCAGCGCCCTTCCCTCCACCAGATCAGGCGGAAGGGGAGGCGGCAAGCTCCCCACCTGACGGTGACGGTGTCGGTGGTGCCCTCCTCTCCACCTGATCCGGCGGAAGGTGAGGCGCGGGCTCCCCAAGCAGAGACGGCGGTGCTCTCCCCTCCAACAGATCCAATGGGAGGGGAGGTGGCGGACTTCCCAAGCAGCAGTGGCGGCGGCTATGACGCCCTCCTCGACATCGGGCCATTCTTGTGCTCTTAGTGTTATTGGATGTTCTTGTATTCTTAGATATTTTTGGATGCCGATTAAAATTTTCATTCTGATCGGGTTGAAGGGGAGCTGCTCGATGATTCGAGCTGATACATCGAGCCCTTTTTTTCATTTCTAGAACCTCAAAGGTGCCGGTTTGAAAGTCCGGCACCTATGGCCGGTTCTTTTCTATAGTATTGGCCCTTGATCTGTTTTTTTTTGGCAATGCCTACAAAGATATGCAGTATGTACTATATGGAAACATATAAAGTTATACTAGAGAATGGATTACTTCGTAAAGTTCATCAGATATAAGTCCCATGCCATGCAGAAATGGAATTCTACCATCTTCATCAATCTTGTAATCTGTCACTGGATTTCCAGCAATGTATCCCTGTGTTATGTACAGAAGGTAAATAAATTAGTTGAAGGAAAGTTAATTACAGGACAGATTGTGCCCATTAAGAAACAAATTATTTAAGGAATGCAAGATAGACTATTGAGGCAATTAAGATGTCAAATATAAAATTTCATGATTGACATAATCTGATAAGATCAGACCTTGAGATTAAAAAATGGTTTTTCTTCTGAACCATTGCCTGAAAAATATAGACACATATTCACTAGTTAATAGTTGTGTACATGCGCAGTTAGTCGATACAAGAAAATGAACACCATATTTGTCCCAACTCGTAAACATGAAAACTACAATTTTTGTGCTTGTATATATCTAGATTCTAGACAACAAGAATAGCATTTGGTTAGTAACAAAAAAATATTATAATTATTGTGATACTAATCTATATTCACAGACAGCCGTTACCCGATATGAGATTAGGAATTTACTAAAATATATTTCCCAAACTGCTAATAATTCAATCTTAAGGCCCTCTAAATGTATGTGGTAAGTCTAAGGAAATTATACATTCATAATGAAAGAATCTTACTTTCGTCAATTGCAAGTGTAAGTGTAGGTACAATCATTCCACTATATGAGTCACCTCCAATATAGAGTGGATTCAGTGAGAACCGGGGATGGTCATGAAGCCACTGTATAAAGCAACACTTTTAGCACGCATCCACGGAATATCTGTTATACATGTAGGGGCAATGTAGATCAATGGGTTATGGTCTCATAACACTATGTTTTTATTATCGTGGCACCATATTTCAAATGGAAACTAATCCTCATCACAGTATTGTTTTTCATAATTACATTGTGCATGCAATCAATACATTTTTGAAACGTCTTCATTGTTCAATGATCATAGTGTTAGTTTTATTAATGACCAATTGAAAAGTAAAGGCAGTGCATGCATTTATTTAACTGGATAGGAGTAAGAATGGTAATAATGAAAAAAGAGTGAAAAAAAATCTTAAGAATATAATATCATTTAATTAACATGAGAGAAGTAAAAAAGGTAATAATGTGATAATTCATACGGCCCCTTAAGAAGCCCGCATGTGATAATACGACCATTATATCCCCAAACAAGCTTAAGCTGCAACCATTTGAACTTGAAGTTTCTCTCTCCAAAACAAAGCAACAAATAGGGGGAAGTTTCCAACTTGAAATCTTTGCTTCAAATTGGTATAGTAGGTTACATACTTGCTTACCTCCTTCAATTGCAGCCATTTTTTAAAAAAATTCATTGGTGAAATGCAGCGAATTTTGCAGTTAATAAGGGTACTTTTATGAGCATTTTTTTTTGCAAATTTTAGCTACAATAAAGAATTTTTAGGTGAGCAAATTGTTATTGTAAGCACAGGTTCATAGTGATTCAATGTAGTGTTGCATAATTTTGTGGACATACATGAATTTTCATGTTTTGTGGGGAACACCTTCACCCTAATTTTATTCGTACTGCCATGTTTTATAGATTGATTTAGGCCTGGATGTAAGACATGCGACAACCTCATCTGGCATTTATGAAGAAAGCATATAACTTTGTTCACCATGCTAAGGCACATGCTTTAAGGAAAAATAGGAAAGACATATATTTTGTTCGTTCTTTGATTGCAAGAATCAGAAATTGTTGAGAGACCCCAGTACAATATTGGTGTACTCAATGGAGCATGAATTTAAGGAGGATTGCAGGGTATGGCTATCACGGGGAAATCACCGTTCCTGAAGGTGACAGTAACATGGAATGTGACGAGACTTGTTTTCCCCTTGATGGGGCAGAAGATTTTACAATTGATGACATGGCCCTTGAAAGAATGGATGAAGATGGTTCGACTAGTAGTGACGATTTTGAGGCAGAATTCAGTCTAGAAGATATGATGCACCACGCTAAACCAGAGGTTCTTATGGGTACAGCACGGGGATTAGACAACTAAGAGGCATTATAGAAACCAACGGAGGATCTTCTTTATGAAGAATCCAAGGGATATGAGAAGGATTATACGTGTTGCGTTTGGTGCTTGAACTCTTTATATTGAAGGCTAGGTATGAATGGTCCAATAGCAGCTTCAATGATTTGATGGGTTTCTTGAGAGTTTTACTTCCTAAGCCTAACTTATTGCCATCCAACAAATATCAAGCGAATAAACTTATATGGCCATTATCTCTAGGTGTTCAAAAGATTCATGCATGTGTAATGCAGACAATTGTCCCACCTGTGAGAAAATTAAAGTCGTTACAAAATGGGTAGTGGGTCCTCTGACAGTGAGGTTGTTGAACCAGATTCATCAGGCATACAAAGAAAAAGATTTTGGCCATGGTGATGTGGAACCTGCACTGAAAGATCGCATGAGCATTTGTTCTCAAAGCCTAACGACGCTAAGTTGATGAGATGACGTCAAGATAACCGGAAAGTAGCTGGTATGATTCGATACCCAACGGATGCTCACTAGTGGAAGTTTTTGATTCACTACATCCAAAATTTCCTATGGATCCAAGAAATGTAAGGTTTGCATTGAGCACAAACAGAATGAATTCATTTGGTGACATATACATCTCACACAACACCTGGCCAGTTCTGCTCACCATGTGCAACCTTCCTACATAGATTGTCATAAGGGAAAGTATATTTTGTTGACTATACTTATACAAGGTCCAAAACAACTTGGCATCACCATAGATGAATTTCCTGAACCTTTGATGGAGGGTATGGAAGATCTATGTCAAGAAGGGTTACGAATGTGGGATGTATACCAACTGGAGTACTTTACTCTATGTGCTATCATATTCGTGATCATCATTGACCTGCTTGCAAATATTTTCCTCTTTGGCCAGATTAAAAGGTAAACTGCATATCTTATCTATCTTGACAAGATGTCATACAAATATGTGACATCCTCAAGCAAGATAGCTTACATACGCCATCAACGGTTCTTACTCCAGAAACAAGTATTGTACGATGGCCAAATGTTTTGACAATACAATAGAGAACGAGTCTGCCACCGCAAAACGAAGTGGTAGTGTTGTCTTCGATATGACAAAGAATATTAAGATCGCGTTTGAGAAGGGAAAGAAGTAGTCAAGAGGAAGAAAGCAGTGGAGGAAAATATATGCCTTACAGGAAGCACTCTATCTTCTTCAAATACATGCTGTACTGGGAGGACCTGGAGATTCATCATGCCATTGATATCATGCACCTCGAGAAGAATATGCTCGATAGCACCATTGACACCTTAATAGACATCTAGAGTAAGATGAAGCACAGGCTGGATTCATGTAACGACTTGGTAACTTTAGACATAAGGAACAACCTTCACCCAAAAGATTTGGCGAATGGGAAACAAGATTCTCCTGCTTGCTACTCCATGACACCAAAAAAGAAAAACGGATTTTTGTAAATACTTGAATTGGGTGAATGCCAATTGGTTTCTCATCGAACATCAGGAAGCTAGTCTCAATGAAAGATATGACCATCTCAGAATGCTCATGATTGTCATAATGCTAACGGTCTTTCTCCCTATTGCTATAAGGACAATCAAGCTAGTTCGAAGGTAGTGATAACAAAGATGTGTTACTTTTTCAATCAAATTTCCTAGAAAATATTTGATCCTATGGAATTAGGACCAATCCAGAACTTCACAATCGAGACAGCGTGCCAACTTGAGATGTATTTTCCTCCATCTTATTTTGATATGATGGAGCATCTGATTGTTCATATTGTCCTTCAGATTACGAACTTGGTCTGCTATACTTGCATCAAATGTGGGTGTATGAGTGGTACATATCGATTCTAAAAGGGTATGTCCGCAATCATGCTTACTTAGAGGGATCGATGACATAGGGGTACACAACTGGTTGAGTGCGTTCTAGATTACATAAAGGATGTCAATTCCACCAGGAAACCCATGGCTAGATACGAGGGAAGGTTAACTGGGAAGGGGGCCGTAGGCAAAAGATGCTTATTTGATAATGATTACAAAGCAGTAGCGGAGGCAGACAACAACGTACTGCAACAACTCGCCATCATTGAGCCCTATATTGAGCAACACATGAATGAGGTTAGTGCCTGCAATGCTTTCCTCAATGGTTGTTGGATCAAAGCCTGCTATTGGTGAATCCATGAAGGAAAATAACTTTAGAAAGACTGGCATCTGGCCTGTCAAGTCTAGTGACCTCATGGCAATGGTATGTCATTAACGGATATGAAAATAAAGGACAAGAAAAGCTCAGCACAGAATAGTGGAGTTCGTGTTGAGGCATTCAACACAACGGACGAGAAGAAATTGCACTAGGGATCATACAAGAAATTGCAGTAAACATCCAGATCCCTATCATCGATGCTAATGGGTGAAAGACACAATAGGCATTTCTCTGGATAACTACAACCTGACGATTGTGGAAGGTAGTAGAGTAGGCTTAGAATATTCTACGAATTGCAGTTTCACCGGCAGTTTGGTTTGTAGAACCCAAAATTCAAGTGCTTAATCACTCATTTGCAATCGAGTTGCCATCTACCTTGTTCTTGCTTGTCTTCTTCGATTTGCATGTAGGGATTAGCCTTCTCTGCATGGTCAATCATGTTTTGGCACGGTTGATAACTAGAGAATATGTGATGTTATGATTTCAGGGTTCAGATTATATTGATCGGAAGCCAGATCATGTATGTCGAATTTCCGCCAAATCGAGGGTTATTAATACATATCAAAATATAGGGGCCGAGTTCCTTATCTGAAGCGATGAGGCATCATGCGATGGACCAAAGACTGACACGCTTATGTTGGCACCGACAAAGCCAAAGCCAATGCCCATAGGAGATGAGCCCAGCGGCAAGATGGCAGACGTGCCGCACGGTATGAAGGAAGCAGCGACGGATGGTAGTGGCACAACCAGAAGGGGCCAGTAAAGGAAATGTTGTATGTGAATTTACAGCACCCGAGCGGAGCAGCGATGGATGTATGGTACGAGGCTTACGAATGTGAGATTGATTCGGTTGTGATAGACTATATTTTGGAAAGGACAAAAATGCCCACTGAACGATGATATGGGAAGTACTATCGTACCCTCACAAATTGACGGTGTAGATCATTTATACCGGTAGTATAATACTACCAGTAGAGAGCATCGTAAAGGTAATCCAATCAAATAGCATGCAAAGTGTGAGGATATTCTTGTCCAAAGCCTTTAAGGGAAACGAAAGAAAAGAAAACCAATTCCGTACAAGACAAATAGAGTAAAAAGTTGTTCTTCTAGGAATTGGTCAGGACAGAGTTACCTTTCTAAGGAAAATTAGAAGTTGTTTCACAGCATTGGTATCACTAGACTTGGAACCCTCCTCTGTGGCTGCATATGAGAACCCTGCCCCTACAGGAGAATCCACAAAGATTATATTGCTTACCTACAAAATCACACAATTCATCCATTAAAATATGCAATTGGGCTTATCCCCTTTTCATTTTCAGAGAAAGAGAGAGATACACATCCACTAAAAATTGAACATGGAACTTATTTGCTAATACATGGTATTTGGCATATGCAGGCGACAACCTTAGTCCATGTCTCTGGTCGGTAGATAATTATGGGCAATCCTCCACTATAGTATCGTTTTGCAGCGAATTGAAATGGCCCTACAAGAGCATACATGCACATCAACAATCCGTTAAAGTAGAATAAGCATTGCAACATAACCTATATGCACAATGCACCATATGTTGGTTATCCATAGAAACTCACTAGAACCTTTTAATAATTTGTGAAAAAATAATACGATAATTATTACTCCCTCCATCTACTTTTGATAGTCATATTTCTAAATCTGAAAATTTTATTTTTGATAGACATATTTCAATCCAACAACCTATCATCTTAATGACTCTCTCGGATTTAATGCGTGACTCTCCATTCTCCCATACAAGATTGGCTACATGGACATCGAGAAATATAAATATTAATGAATCACTTGTTCATGAGGAATAACTAGTAGCATGTTTAAATGGATGATAAGTAGAATCACTTATCCTTGGTTTGTGTGCCAAGATGAAATATGACTATCAAAAGTAGATGGACGGAGTATTACCTATCTCATGGGCTAGGCCAGAGATGCTAGAGCAGCCAGGCCCACCTGTTAGCCAGAGCAAAAGTGGGTCTAGATCAGGATTCTTCTCTGACCGGACAAAGTAGTAGAAGAGCTGCACGCCAGTGCTCTCGTTCACTTCCACGTACCTGCAGCGGTCATAAGTGTGCACATGATGTATCCATGGCTTGCATTATATGTTTGTCATTTCTTGGACCAGTGGTAGACCGGCGTTCTTTTTTTTTTTTTTGACTGCGTTCATTGGAGAAATATACGGACCCATACCTTTTCTTCAAAAACAAATTTTTGGTAGTGCCATTTTTATATTTTCAGCGGTATGGTTAAATAGAAATGAAATTGTTTGCATTAGAAATTCATCTAACCCTATCAATGTGGTATTGTTGAGTTCTTTCTATGGCTTTTGAATTTTATTCCAACAGGAGGACTATTATTTGGATTGGGGCAAGTCATAGATTGGAGAATATCACTCTCTTTAGAGGTGTTTATCTCACATGAGTAGCAATAGGGATCTATCCAAACTAAAGTTTGATGTTTTATTATTTCATTTAGAACTTGTTGGTATGTCTATTTTTCTAAGGGGTATCAGGTCTAATACTTAGGTATCTGATTTGATATGATGATATCTATGAGTACCATGTGTGATACCTCGATGCTATGTATCTTAATTAGGTGCATAGTTTCCCATCATCGCTGCCCAATCACTAGTATTGTTTTACATGCTAAATGACACAATCTCCTGCATGATTACCTTTTGGATCATCTTTAAACCATTCTTTTCCATATGGATCGGTAATTTTGCCAATTTTAGCTTGGACCATCCCAAACTACTTCTCCGGTGCACCGGTGAATATAGCGCTTGGTGAATGAACAATATCATGCTTATCGATACATATCGATACTTAATATAATCCTTTATTATTAAAAAAAAATATTGAGACTGCAAGATGTACTCACGCTTTGCATTCAGTATATATACATACCCGGTTTCGAGGGAGAATGGCAATGGGCCGTCGAACCCGGGCAGGCTCGACACGGCGACACAGGCCGCCGCCGTCCACGACGACGAGGCCACCCAAGAAACGAAGCAGCAGCAGGCGAGCCACCACCACGTCAAGCAACGGCGGCTGGTGGTGCTTCTCGTCGCCACCATCGTGCGCGCTTCCTCTCGCATCGTCGATCGAATGGTTTGTTTCCCGTTTCGTCTAACCAATTATGACTGAATTATCAGCCCTGGGGTTATGTGAAAACAGATAGAAACAAGAGATAAAAATTGGCAAAGGAACATGCAAAACAGGCCAGTCCAACTAACTCTTATCTCGTCTCTGACAGATTCATGGATGCGTATCAGAAATTCAGACTATATTTATGTGTATATATATCAGATTATTGACATACCTGCGCACAGATCTTAGGATCACTTACTCTTCGGAATGATCCACTTATTTTACTTTCTTCACTTGATCGATCGGAAAAACAGCACTCCTAATATACGCAAGAGTAGAACTCGGTGTCCTCTAGTTTCGGCAGCTAGAGCTCAGCGCTATGTATATCTTTTATATAGTTATACAAACCCATATAGTGGGAACCTATCCCATGCATACAAGTGTTGCATGCTTACTTTGTACCAACTAGCAAATATCATCGAAAAATCTAAAAAAATTGTGCATACAATTTCGTCAGTATTATACCTACTTTTTAAATCTTAATCTCAAATTTATTATATTTTAGAGATGCATTAAAAAATTTTATCTTTTTTTTATCTTTTTTTAGTCAGAATTTTATCTTTTTTTCTCTATATAATGAATTTGAATATGAAACTTTCTACATAGATATGTACAACTTGTTAAGAAATTTCCATGTGTACATGCTGTGCATCATCGGTTAGTGTACACGGTGTATACATGGGAAGGCTTGTGTATGTAGGCTATTAGTTAGTTGGTACATAGAAGACTACTTGTCTATGCATTAGTTAACATGTAAGTATATGGGCATCAGAAATCATATATAACATGTATATATAAAAATTATTAGTAAATGATTAAATATAATTATACTACATCATCTACAAATTATAGCATTATGAAGCATGCTGATCATACGTTTCTATAATATTGTGCCGTACAATGCGGGTCATCGTATTGAATTGCATTTAAGTACAGGTCTATGTTGATATCCGAGTTGATTACATGGGTCGATCACGTAGGTACAGTATACTGCATTTAAGGTATAGGATATGTGTTGTTGTCATCTCAATTACGACGTACAGCTATGATCTGGCATAATCAATGACGGACGTTGGACATGGCACCCGTGCGTCGGTCATACGAGTCACGACACTTTACGACGATCTTTCCTGATTTCTAGATTTCCACTGTGATGATAGCAGAGAAATTGGCACTCTATACATTCGTTCCAGCCTGACCAACACTATTCATTACTACAAAATCCACCGTAGGTATCGGCTCATGGAACGTTTTCCCATCTTCATGTGTTGAAAAAGGCTCTTTTAAACACTCTAGATACTGGTTATAAAGGAAGCACCAATACTATAGGTACTTTTTTATAATAATCGCACAAAAAACCGGCACAAATAAAAACTAAGCGAGCCGAACCCCCATCGAACCGATCGAGCGCCCACCCCATAAACCCCTCCCGTCCTTGATCCCTCGAGTTCCCCCTCTCCTTCCCTCCATTCGCCTGCCCTCCTCCTCCTCTCCGTATGCGTGCACCTCCTCTCCTCTCGAGAAGTTCGCCATTGATATTTCTTAATGACATTGCTAAAAATATAATTTCCAGTAATGGTGCTCGAAATATTACTTGGTGTTCTTTACTGTTACAGATATAATCCGCAAGTACACGGATATACTATTGTAGCATTTCACCCAGAAGTATTACAAGGTATCATATTTATTTAATCCCAAGGAAAGATATGATAGGAGAGTACTATGCTAGTAATTTATACTCCCTCTGTCCCAAAATATAACAACTTTTAGCCCTCAAGTTTTTTCCTAAAATATAACAACTTCTTCACCAACATTCTCTTTCTAACCAATCACAATCCTCCACCATTCTTTTTCCCACCTGCCTCCACTACTCAACCAATCACAACCATCCATCATTCACTTCTATCTACTTTCTTATTAACCGTGTCCAACTCTAAAAATGCTTATATTCTGAGACGGAGGTAGTATCACTTATGTAGATCATTTTAGGGGTAAGGATAGATAGACACACAGAAGGATACTCTCACTAAAATGATAATCTAGGCTAAGTGCGAAAAGAATAAGAAAAGAATCATTTATGTACTTATAGTATATAGTTATTTAGTCTACACTTGCTATTATACAATTATGAAGCCAATACCCCCTAACAATGCCCTCCTAGTATATCGAGAAACCACCTCTGATTGTCGAGTTTCTTACGACAATCCGTCATGGTCATCCAACCGGTAATAGATATGGAGGAGTACCCACACCAGGAGAAACTCTTAGCCCTATTTACACACGTGGATGAATACCCGTATTGAGCTGTCACCATCAACGGCCTACCTCTACAGATCCATAGCATATAGCACCATTTAATGGTATGTAATAATCTAAGCATCGCGCTTATATTAGTAAATATTACTCTATATCTCTGAAGATGACATAGAGCAATCATGTAAATGAACACCAAGCCAATACCATTACATATCTCCACTAAGCTAGCTACATAATTATTATGAGTCAAGTATGAACTAAAGTCGGCACTCGAATAATTATATAAGTAAAGTAAATGACCAAAACTATATTAAAAAATAATATTTCATTACAGAATAAAGTCTTACAAGCGATAGAAGAGCTACTAGAGCTATACCCGAAATCTCCGGAAGACTTGAAGAACTAAGAAACTATTCTAATTCTACTCCATTAGCACTAGAACAAAGTAAATAACTAGAGAGCTTCTTGCTTGATCCACCTTAGTGTGTGTTAAAATGGAGAGAGAGATAGCCTCCATATGATGGTTGTAACGGCTGAAATATCCTAAACACCCCGCAACCGTCATTGAGGAGTAATCCAGGACATCCACGTGGAAGGCCAGGATGAACGGAGCTGGTGACGGTTCGGCCGAACCCTGGGCTGGTCCATTTGGCCCATCCTTTCTCCTGTAATCCATTTGATGGATCCTAAGCTCAGTGGTATGGTGGTTGGGCCAAATTGTAGGTGTTCAAATGGGTTTGTGGGCCCATTCGTCCATAAGTGTGCCACACGTCGAGCTCTGATTGATCGAACGATTATTTTCATCCTTTCTCCATCATTTATACGAAGATCTCCTGTACACCAATACTTTGCCAAGTACAAGTGAAAATATATTATTTTTAAACAAATATGCATGCAAGCATTGCTAGTTCTTCTTTATTTTCGGATGTATTGACGGTCGAAATTGGTCTATAACGACCGTCACCACTCGCGGATGATAGTGGTCACCGTGGCTGGGAGTAGGCGGGTGGCTGTAGTGCCCACCACTCTACCAGATCCAGCGGAAGGGGAGGCGGTAGGCGACGGCACCCGAGGAGGGGTGGCAGGAGGCAGGGGTGCCCTCCCCTCTACCAGATCCAACGGGTGGAGAGGCAGCAGGCTCCCCACAGGGAGGCGGTGGTAGGGGTGCAGCATCCTCCCCTCCCCGCCGGCGGTGTCACATTCTTTGTTGTCAATGACCTCCGCAGTGTGAGAACCGATGCCCATGTGCGATGAAGATGGTGGACTGGTAGGTGGTGGCGTAGAAGCAGAAGGTGGCGGCAAAGAAGTCCTGTTGCCAGTGGCAGGCACCTAGCGGCCCAGTGGGTCACATAGGTGCTGGTTTTGTGTTTACAGTTGACACCTATTAAGCCACAAAGGTGTCGATTCGAAGTGTATGACAAGCACCTATAATACTGTAGTAAAAAAATGGTATTGCAGGGCAAACACCAAATACTCACAAAAATCCCACATCAATTCAAAGAATATATCCATATTCATATCACCCACATGCCAAATTAATCTCCAAACATACACATATATCCATATTCAGTAATCAATCTCCATGAGTCACATCACCCACATCCCAAATTAATCTCCAAACATACACATATATACATATTCAGTATCTATCTCCAAGAGTCACTCACTTCATTTCACAATGGTGTTGCTGCCGAAACACTCTGCAATCAAATCTAGTAACTCCTGAAATAGAGTTCCTCTGTACCTGCATACACTGTCGTCTTCGGTTTTAAAATCCTTTCTTGCAAAGGTCAACTTTTTCTGCAAATCCCAAGCAAATAGTTTGTCATTGCAAATAGGGGATGTGCTGAATCATTGCACAATGATAATTAGCACTATATGATGGTAATATCTCAGTTTTTCTGCTTCAATGTTTTTATCCAGACAAGAATAGAACGCCATATTGTCATCCTTGTTGAGTCTGACAATGTTGACAAAATCATGCAGTGCACTCACTGTCCAGGTCATTTTAATCAATAATCTGCGTATGCTGTAAAACGAGGATTAAATGTAGCCAGTACATTTTTATTTGTTTCCATTATCCTGGAATTATCTAGAGGAATGGGTATTTGAAGCAAAATAGAGCATGCCACCATGAATTAAAAGGACACCAACATGCCACAGTACTAGAATTAGACAAAGAGAATGTTAAAACAGTACCAAGTTATTCTCTGCCATTAGTTCGTCAATACTTTGTTGATCCAGGTCATTTGGTTCAAATTCTTCAGAACCATCAGTGTGTACATTCTGCAATATAAAGAGAGAGTGACAACAGATCACATTAGTCAACAAGGATTAAGATGCACTTTCCCAGTCAGCTGATATCAAGACTACTTCTAATTTCCTCACTGTTTTATTACAGCTAATTAACCTGAAGTGCATGAAACATAAACAGGTACCTCATGTTCGATTCCATTGAGCTGATCTTGAGAAGGGAATAACGTCGTTTGGGTTCACGACCTGTAAGGAATACAACAGTGAAGTATATGATATAAGGAGCCAGGAGGCATATACATCAGTAAAATTAAGATTAGTGGTTGAGGTAACTTTCCAACATTCTTCTGACCAAACCTCCGTGGGGTTAAGCACTAAGGTAGTAGTCCAAAATGAAAAACAAAATTTGTGGTTCTTAGATGGAATGTGCTTCAAATACTACTGAACACTTGGTTGGTTGATCCCACATGTACATTTTTCAGGCCATCTACAGTTAACCCCAGCACCAAGAACAGATAAGTGTTCAAGAAAGCAAATAGATAAACAGATTAAATCCATCACATTGAATTCATGTTCAGGACAATAAAAAAACGACATCAATCCAAATAACTAATCTACAAGATACTTAGAAAACAGAGTTTGGACTTAGTTACTAAAAATAATAAGTTTGGACTTACTGACAAATAGAGTTTCGATACTTTAATTTTAATTCTGAGCATCACATTTATTCAATCATGGAAAAAGTATAATTAGGCTACATATTTTACAATTACTATTTTTGAATTTAGAGCTGTTAATCGAACCAATTGTTCAGTATAAACAATATACCATGGGCTCTTTA